TCACATACTTAAGGAAGAAAACAACACACCCATGATCTCTTGCCATGTTACTCCTAGCTTATTCCACAACTATAGTTCCAAAGACTTCAGTTCAAGAGATTTTTTTAAACACCAGGGGAAGAAAAAAAAAGTCTAGACAAATACGCTATTTCCTCAAGTGCACACGCAAATAGTTTAATAGTTGGGAGAATACAAGGAAAAACTCGCGGAGAACAAAGAATAAAGGTTCAGTGTGGATATAGTGAGGACATGGCCAATCGGAACAATTACCTCCACTTCAGGGCGGAGTAGTCCTCAGACCAGCCCTGGTCACCAACCCGCGGGTTTTGCGACCAAACTAGTCGCCCCTCCCCTTCTCCACCACCCCTTTGAGGTTCCCGAGAAGCCACGCCCTAAGGGGGGCGAGTCACGCCCGGGCGCCCCTAGCAACCTTTGGCCTCGCGCAGGCGCGCTAAACCCTGCCTTTAAACTCGGAGGCACCGCGCTGAGCAAACTATACTGGTCGGCTCTCCAGGCCAGTACTTCGGGCGTCCCGCACACAGCCATGTCATCAGCCACCCGAGTGGCGCTGGTGACCGGGGCCAACAAGGGCATCGGCTTCGCCATCGCGCGCGACCTGTGCCGCCAGTTCTCCGGGGACGTGGTGCTCACGGCGCGGGACGAGGCGCGGGGCCGCGCAGCCGTGCAGCAGCTCCAGGCCGAGGGCCTGAGTCCCCGCTTCCACCTGCTGGACATCAACGACCTGCAGAGCATCCGCGCCCTGCGCGACTTCCTGCGCAAGGAGTACGGGGGACTGGACGTGCTGGTCAACAACGCGGGCATTGCTTTCAAGAGTAAGGGGATGGGAGCTAGAAGGGGAGGTGGACCCCCGGAGCTCCTCCAGCCAGGGTGGGCTCCATCTGTTGGGGAATCCATGCGGTCCGGCTCCTGACGCGTGGCATCCAAAATGGCTCCTTAGGGCAGGAGGGATGGAGGGACAGGGATGGGGCTCAGGCAGAGCCCAACAGAAATTGCAGCGCTTATCAGCCAGAGTGACCTTTGTGCTTCCTCCGATTCCTGGGGTTTTTTTCCAGATTGTCAGAGAGTTTCTCTCATTGGATTTTAAGGCAGTTGGGTTATTTTTACTGCATTTTGAAATAAAAAGAAAACTGCACAAATTGGTTAACAAGAAATCCCATGTGTGCACCACCCCTTCACCCAGCCTCCCCCAATGGTGCCATCTTATACCACTACAGCATTATCAAATGAGAAAATTGTCAGTGTCACAAGACTGTAAACTAGAAGCCAGTTTACACAAAATTCACCAGACTTCACATGCACTTTTTTAACATATATCATTCTGTGAAATTTTCCCACAAGGCTACTATTAACGCTGCTCTCTTTCTCCCTGGGAAGCTGATGATCCCACACCGTTTCATATTCAAGCAGAAGTGACCATGAAAACAAACTTCTTTGGTACCCGAGATGTGTGCACAGAACTGCTGCCTCTAATGAAACCCCAAGGTGAGCCTGGTCAGGGGCCCAAGCTGTGGTGGTTCTGCCATGATCTGGCCCCTTGCCTGTCTGACCTCATCTACAGACCCCCTGGACCCCCTCCTTACTCAGCCACACCAGCCTCCTTGCTAGGTCTCCTCCTGGACAGGTGCCCCTCTGCCTCAGGACTCACACACTCATCCTGCAGTCAGCAGTGCCCTCTGTCCCGCTGGTCCTTCACAACTACCTTGGTCTTATCCTTCAAATCTCTCCTCAGAGAGGCCTTTTACTTGCTCCATGCCACTCACAGGTGCAGGACCCTGAAGATTCCTTCCTGGACCCTTCTCCCTCTCCCTCTCTCCCACGGATTTTATTCAGACCAGTAGACTCCTCACTCTCCAAATTTCTCAGGCCCCCCTAACATCAACCACCTGCCTAGAACATTCCCAGAGCTCCAGACACACATAGTTCTCTTCCTGCCTCTCCTTCTCCTCAGGATGCCCTCCTAGGCCCTGTCTAGCCTGGGTGCAGACCTCTCCCCATGGCCAGCAAGAGGCCTGCGCACTCACATGTGGTCAGAGCTGCCGATGGCCACAGGCCAGTGGTACGTGGCCATGTGGACGGGGCACCTGTATGGCCCCCCCCACCCTGGGCTGTAATATTGGATGCCTCTTGTTGCATAACCCACTGTTCATGCCCTTACCCTCATTCCTCCTCCTCATGCCTCCCTCCTCCTCCTTGTTATCTGCATTGACCTTTCAAAGGAACATCAGTTTCAACCTCTGTGCTGGGCCTGATTCACTGCAGTGATACTAGTCAAGTGAGTGCCTTCCTTCTAGTCCACTCCCACTCCTACAGGACAGGGCCGCATCTGTCTAGAAGGAGTGGCTATCTCAGCCACTGCACAATACAGCTATGTTCACTGTCCCTCGAGTTTTCCCAGATGGGGGAAGGCACAATCCACTCCATTATGCCCTTAGGAATTCTGACGTAAAGATTTAAAGCTACAGTTACAGTGTGTCGTGATTACAGATTATCCCTGCTTCCCATTTCCGTAGTTGCATCCCTGGTCCTGGGATCACGGTAAGAGTAGGAAGAAAAGGAAGTTGAGATGATGTAGGGAAGGACTGTAAGGTTAAGTCAGCATCCTCCCCCATGCCCTCTCCCCAGAATCCCCAGCGAAGCAGAAGAATCTGTCCAGTGGGGAATGTCCCTTGGCACCCACTCCCCTATGTTGAGTGTGAATATATGCTCATGAATGTGTCTAAGCCCCAAATACCTTTGTCTCGTGTTTGAGACAACCAAGGATTCAGATGCCTGTTCAGTTCTCTGTGGAACCACTTCTCTGCAGATGAAAATGTGTTGCTTGGCCTGCACAAATGCAACTCCATAGTCCAGACTGTTGCAGCATCTTCTGTCCTCATCCTGCTATACTGCGTGAACATTGCCATCGTCTTCTGCATTTTCCCAAAGCTTGTTCCAGAAATAGTGTCTTAACTTGTCTGGACCCATTTGGAACTTGCCAAGCTACTACCTTCAACCCAACTTACCAGCCTTGTGCAGGGCCTTCTCCTTAGGCAGTCTCTCCCATAACCATCTCCAGTCTTTGTCTCTTTTGCTGAGAAATGGAATAGTGCTTAGCATTTTTTCTTTGCCTCACAGGGTGGAAGAGTCTATGTCAACAATTACCCCAGCTGTAACTCTCCCATTTCCACTCACCTCAGGGACCAGATGGCCACTTCATACAAGCACACCAGGATATCCACTTGCTGATTCCACTCCCATTCCAGTCCTGGAAGGGGTTCTTCTGAGGGGCATTGACATGTCTGACTTTAATCTGCCCCCTAAATTGCCACAGTGACTTCCATAGGGCCATGCCCTGTATGGACGTCCTTCAATCCCCCAGTTTCCGACTACCTCTCTCCATGACCGTATTCTCAGGCCATGACATACTCCTGAGTTCATAAAAACCCTATCATAGACAAATCACCATGCAGGTCAGGCCACTCTACTAATTTGTTTTTACCATCCTCAAACAGAGTGCCAGGCTTCCAAACCAGCCCTCCTTACACCAGTCAGCTCTTTATTGGTCAGTACAGACCTGTTTGTAGACCATCCCCAAGTGACCATAAGATCCTCAGGTGGTCCCAAAGGTGGCCTTAGGGAGAAAGAGGTAATCCACTCTTGAATGCAGTGTCTCCTTACCTTCTCCTTATCGTGTTCTTCTATACAGCGTTTCCATTTTCCTGTGGAACATCTCCTCAGTGCCCTCCCCTTTAGAGCATTTCTCACACATCATCAGAAACATTATGGGTATAACAAGTTTCGAGACCATGTCATAGTCTTCACTCATACAGGCAGTCTTCATTAACACTTACAGCAAATTAATAAAGTCTCAAGTGGAAATTTTCTCATACAAAATCTTAGCGAAATTGGTATTTATCGTTTTTGTGCCTTTCTACATAACATTTTGTGTTGTATTTTAGGCAGAGTGGTGAATGTGTCTAGCCTGGTGAGTCTGAAAGCCCTCAAAAAGTGCAGCCCAGAACTGCAGCAGAAGTTTAGAAGCAAGGCCATCACAGAGGAGGAGCTGGTGGGGCTCATGAACAAGTTCGTGGAAGACACAAAGAAAGGCGTGCACAGGAAGGAGGGCTGGCCTGATACTGCCTATGGAGTGACAAAAATCGGTGTCACGGTCCTGTCCAGAATCCATGCGAGGAACCTGAGTGAGCAGAGGAAAGGAGACAAGATCCTCCTGAACGCCTGCTGCCCTGGGTGGGTGAGAACAGACATGGCGGGACCTAAAGCCCCTAAAAGCCCAGAAGAGGGAGCAAAGACCCCTGTCTACTTGGCCCTTTTGCCCTCTGATGCTGATGGACCTCATGGGGAGTTTGTTATGGAGAAGAAAGTTGAACAATGGTGAGCTTAATTCACAGCTCCATCCATGGATCCCTTTATGATACCCCCTCCTTTCACCAAAAGGACTCTTCCACTGTCAGTCGTATCCCTCTCCATAGCAAGAAAACATATAAACTATCCCTGTTGAGTATTCAATTTGAGGAGGCTACTAATTCAGGGATAAGGGACAGAATAAATGAAATAACCCCAGAGATGAATAAATCTCCTCTATAAATGCCTATTTATGCAGACTCTTTATATGCTGAACCAGCTAAGAAGTCTACTACACCTAATAAGATCAAGAGAAGTTAGAGTTTTGCTCAAGGGTAAGCAAACATACAAAGAGGCTGACAGTAATATGTTTAGCTTTGCAGGCCACACACTCCTGTCACATCTCCTCAGATCTGCTGTTGTAGCATGAAAGAAACCACAGAAAATATACAAACCAATAAGCATGGTTGGATGTGACATGCAGCCCATTGTACCAGCCTCTAGCATGGCATGGACAACACCATGAAGGGAAGACATCCCCCGGGGTCTCTGAATATCTAACTCATTGGGGAAAAGAAACAATTACCAAGTGTGAAATGGCAGTGGGAACTTAGATACATCCCTGGGAACTCTGAGACATGGAGAAAATTGAGTATGGAATGGGTATGGATGATGAGTCCCCGGGAGTGAGGCCCAAGACACCAGTGTGACGAGAAGATTCTTACTGCCCCGTCCAAGCCTGGCTCCCTGTGGGCCTGACTGACTGTCCACCACATGCCTGGCTTCACAGGAACATGCATGTTGGAAATGTGCCTCTACTACACTGATTATTTTTCATTCTTCACCGGGGGTTTTCAGCCTCACCCAAATGAAAGGTGAGAGACCCTGAAAGCAAAACTTTTAAAAGTTTTTCACTTCAAAGGGCTGAAAACGTCCTCCCTGTTATTTTGCGTTTAATTTTTTACTTTGCATTTCTGAACTGACACATGAGGAATATCAATGTCTAGGACAACACAGTGGATCCTACCGTAAATTTGCAAAAATACTCTGATGTGATCACATAGGTCTTTTCTCCTTGATATTTTAAAACAACACCTAATTATATAAAATACTTTTTAACTGTGACCTTAACCTAAACCAAAAAATAGGCACTTTAGGCAAACGGGATTATGAAACCATTAAATCAAACATTCCAATCAATACCTTGGCCCACCGTGTCTTCATAAACATCCCCTCCCACTCGGAGACCCTTGGAATCACACTGAGGGAGAGCCCTGCCCACAGCCAAGTCTCATCACAGGACCGAATTCTCTATTTCTCCCCCTTGAGTTTCTCCTAAGAAAGGAAGGGGACCTGTATCCTCAGAACCACTTTTCCTATGCCAGAAATTTCACTGCACCTTGGAAGAACCCAACCATTCCCATTCTGCAGTGGAAGGACATGTTCCCAAGACATTCTCTCTACCCCTTTTTTCCTTTTGAGTTTTTCCCAAAATTATTTTAGGTCAACTTCCGTGAATCTCTAGCCCCCTATAACCACTACCAACTACCTTTCTTTTGGGGAGCATTTGAGTCCAACACGAACCATTGTTTGCCTCAGAGGAGGGACCCTAAGAGGGTAGGGACTCAGGGTGCAGCTGTTGGAGGGACAGACCTGGTATAGTGTTACTAGGAAAATTGCTAGAACATTTGGCCCCTCCTTCGATGGAGGGACTGAGGCGGGGCCTTGGGCACTAGGAGCCACAGTGCTGAATCTTAGAACACAGTTCTGCTGGCATCTCTGACTGTGTTAGACCTCTGCACCACCAGCCCTCCGTGGGGCCCATAGCACCATCTGCTCGCCACCTAGGGTAGTGCTTGCTCTCCACACAGCCGTGTCATCGGCCCCCCGTGTGGGGCTGGTGACCGGGGCCAGCAAGGGCATTGGTTTCGCCATCGCGCGCGACCTGTGCTGGCAGTTCTCCAGGGACGTGGTGCTCACGGCGCGGGACGAAGTGCGGGGACAGGTGGCGATGAAAAAGCTCCAGGCCAAGGGCTGGCGCGGGACGAGGCGCGGGGCCACGCAGCCGTGCAGCAGCTCCAGGCCGAGGGCCTGAATCCCCGCTTCCACCTGCTGGACATCGACGACCTGCAGAGCATCTGCGCCCTGCGCGACTTCCTGCGCAAGGAGTACGGAGGACTGGACGTGCTGGTCAACAACGCGGGCATCGCATTCAAGGGTAAGGACACGGGAACACGTTGGGCTGGAGACCTCCCTTAGGGGACCTTCCAGGGTGGGTGGGGCATGGTCCCTGAAGGCTCCCGTAGGACCCAGAGCTCCTATGGGGTCTAGGAGGGCCTCCCTAGGGAAAGAGGCTGGACTGGAGGCACACAGAAAGAAGAGGCCTCTGGGGGTTGCAAGTCTTAAAGCCAGAGCACCTTGGCATTGCCATGGATTAATCTCAGGGACCTGACGGAGAGTTTGGCAAGTTTCATTCGGTTTGGATCAGAGCCATTCGGTGAATGTTTAATCTATTTTGTAATAAACAAAAATTGCAATCAGAGATACACAGAAATCCCACTAGGCACACTTCCCAAGCCTCCTCAAATGATGCCAACTTACCAAGCTACACAGCATTAACACACCAGATACATCACGTTGGGAAAATATGGTTCACTAACCCAAACATTAATGAGAGTTCACCAGGTTGCACCTCCAAAAAGAATGTTACTGTCACGGAGCGCCTGGGTGGCTCAGTTGGTTGAGTGGCTGCCTTCGGCTCAGGTCGTGATCCCAGGGTCCTGGGATCAAGCCCCACATCGGGCTCCCTGCTGAGCGGGAAGCCTGCTTCTCCCTCTCCCACTCCCCCTGCTTGTGTTCCCTCTCTCGCTGTGTCTCTCACTGTCAAATAAATAAATAAAATCTTAAAAAAAAAAAAAGAATGTTACTGTCACTTCATGGGATTTTCTCAAATGGCTACTATTTATTAAAATATTCTCCTCCTCCCCTAACAGCTGGTGATCCCAAACCGTTTCATATTCAAGCAGAAGTGACCATGAAAACAAACTTCTTTGGTACCCGAGATGTGTGCACAGAACTGTTGCCTCTAATGAAACCCCAAGATGAGCCTGGTCAGGGGCCCAAGCTGTGGTGGTTCTGCCATGATCTGGCCCCTTGCCTCTCTGACCTCATCTACAGATCCCTGGCCCCTCTCCTCCCGGACAGATACCCCTCTGCCTCAGGACTCTCACACACTCGTCCTGCAGTCAGCAGTGCCCTCTGTCCCGCTGGTCCTTCACAACTGCCTCGGTCTTATCCTTCAAATCTCTCCTCAGAGAGGCCTTTTACTCACTCCATGCCACTCACAGGTGCAGGACCCTGAAGATTCTTTCCTGGACCCTTTCTTCTCCCTCTCCCTTTCTCCCAGGGATTTTATTCAGACCAGTGGACTCCTCACTCTCCAGACTTCTCAGACCCTAACATCGGTCACCTGCCTAGAACATTCCCAGAGCTCCAGACACATATAGGTCTCTTCCCGCCTCTCTTCCTTACAATGCCTTCCCACTCCTCCAGCCCCCAACCCATACACCCATTTAAAACATCTACATTTCCAGGGGCGCCTGGGTGGCTCAGGCGGTTAAGCATCTGCCTTCGGCTCAAGTCATGATCTCAGGGTCCTGGGATCAAGCCCTACATCAGACTCTCTGCTCAGCAAGGAGCCTGCTTCTCCCTCTCCCTCCCACTCCTCCTGCTTGTGTTCTCTCTCTCCCTCTGTCAAATAAATAAATAAAATCTTTAAAAAAAAAATAAAACATCTACCTTTCCAAAACAATTATCATTTCCCACACACATCCTGGTCACAGACCCTACCATCCACCAACAAAGAATAATGAGGTCACCATGCCCATCTCCTGATTATAGGGACCAGGTCCTAAGAGTTGTCCTATGGATTTTGTCCCCAGACCTTTCCTCCATCCCAGCTCTAAACAGACACTAGCCTGTCATTTCTGGATCAATGCAACCTTCCTAAGAGACCCTGCTTCTTCTGTCTTTTCCTCTCTAGGCATTCTCTCTACTCTCTGAGCACTCACTTATTCCCAAAAGTCCTTCAGGAGCAAAGCCCAAGACCTGAGCATCACTTGTAGGCATCTCTGTCATCAGACCTGCCAAACCCCAGTCCCATCAACTCCCCTTCCCCTTGTCCAATGCTCTGCACTAAACAAACTGCCATAATTCCTTGCTTGTCAACTAGTGTAATACTTAACCCACAAGAACGTGATGTGGGGAACCACCACCCTTTTACTACACTCATTAAGATAAGCCGATACTTTTAGAAAGATTAAGATGTCTGGCTTGAATTGAGGGCATGCAGGTACAGTGGACTCTCTGTTCTGCCCCCAATTTGTCTTCTGACCTGGAAAGTTCTACTATTTCTTCTAACTGGCTTCACTGGCATCGCAAAGGGTCGCTCTCAGATGTCACCGACTCCTTCACTCACCACAACACCTGAGTGGGATGGAGTTCCTTGTGCCACCACCACACATCCTACAGGTATTCCCTTAGAAGGCAAAACTGGCTTCTGACCGAGTTTTTTTCTCACTTACTGAATAGTGTTGGTGCTTGCTGTGTGTTGACCTTGGACCAGAATGTGGAGTGCGTGCTGTCCTGCATTTGCTAAGGCAAGCTCTAATCAAACAATTCATCTTACCTCAGGGAAACTAGACTTCATGGACATGGAAATGCACATGGAAATGCATGGACTTTCTCAGTGCGAAAGCAGGGTTTTCTTGCCTTTTGAAATAGGAGAGTTCTTCCATTAGTTGGGGGGATGGCAGCCACTGTGTCCTTGTTACCAGGACTTTGTCCTCTTTGGGGAGACTATCTGAGATAAATCCTAGCTAGGAAAACCAAAAGCAAATACTGTCCCTCCCCTCCCATACTTCACAACCTAGGATACAAAGAACAATCTTGAATGACTTCACCAGTTCTCTGTGGGTTCAGAACACATTCCAGAGGCCCGCGTTTGCTCTGTTTTTTGGCATGGAGGGACAAAACGAAAAAGAATGTGACCTACAGGACAGAGGCATAGTAGAGTGGTTCTTCTCTTTTAATCCTTTCTTCAAAAAAGAGTTTTACTGAAATAATGGAGCCACAAAAAAGTTAAGCATCTACAACCACCAGGTGCCCACCACCTTTTTAACCAGGCAGTCAGTATCTAGGCCACGTACATCTCCTCCCACATTCCATGGCTTTTCTTCCCCATTCCCCTAAATTCATATTCCTGAATTTAAAGGATACACTCTCTAAAGTGATAAACTGTTGTTCTTCTATTTTCTCTTTAAATTATACTATGCATTTGGTTTGAAAAAGATATTAAAAAATAGATACTCCTTTAAATATAAAAACTAAACAATTACTCACACGTGTCAATATAAGTTCATTGCTATAAATACTAACTATATTTTCAAAAAAGAGGTAGTGAGAACCATGTCAGTGCTTTACACTTTTAGCAGCTTATTGAGACACAATTCACGTATCGTACACTTCACCCATCTCAGATATCCAACTCAGTGGATTTTAGGAAATGGGCCGAGTTGTGGAACCATCACTGCTTCAAGATTAGCACACTGTCATCAGCTCAGGGAGATCCCGTGCCCTTAGCTATCAGCCCTCCGTTCCCCCATCCCCCCTGCCCCAAGCACCCACCAATCTACACTCCCCCCTTCATTTCCTCTTCTGGACATCCCATGTATGGAGGAGCATATAATGAGTGGTCTTTTGTGACTGGCTTTTTAATTTTGAATAACACTCTCCGGGTTCATCCATGTTGTAGCACCGACATCGTTTCTTTTAATAGCATCCATTTAACAGATCCGTTTTCCACGGCTCTTTTCCGTGACCATATTGCCAGGACATTAGTCAGTCCTTCTGAGACAATAAAAACGCCACCAAGGAGAAAACCCACATGCAGTTCAGCCCACTGAGGTGACTTGTTTTTACCTACCTAGAGCACAGTGGCAGTCTACCAAACCTGATGCAGTCTGTTCACCTTCAAAAGGCCCTCAGTTAAGCGACCAGCTCTTTGTTGTTCAGTAGACACCTATTCATAGAGCACTGCCCAAGTAACCACAAGATCTTCAGATGGTCCCAAAGGGACCAATGAGGAAAAGTGGCTCTCTACTCATGACTACACTGAATGTCTCCTATCACTCTGTTTAGCATGTTCCTGTAAAAAGCACGTTCTTTTCTTTATGGGGCATCTGGGCACTGCTCAGTCCCATTAGATCATTTCTCTGACATCCTCTGAGACATGATGAGTAAAACAAGGTTCAAGACTGTATCATGTCCTTCATTTGCAGAGGCAGTCTTCATTGCCACTCATAGCAGACTGGTCATTGTCTCCCAAATGGGAAAAATACCAGCGATTTTGGTATGCATCGTCCTCAGGCATGCCATTCTACGTGACTCTCTATGTTGTATTTTAGGCAGAGCGGTGAATGTGTCTAGCATAATAAGCCTCATAGCCCTTAAAAAGTGCAGCCCAGAACTGCAGCAGAAGTTTAGAAGCGAGGCCATCATAGAGGAGGAGCTGGTGGGCTCATGAACAAGTTCGTGGAAGACACAAAGAAAGGCATGCACAGGAAGGAGGGCTGGCCTGATACTGCCTATGGAGTGACAAAAATCGGTGTCACGGTCCTGTCCAGAATCCATGCGAGGAACCTGAGTGAG